GAGGCGGACAAAGCCTGCCCCCCTAGACAGACAGCGGCCAATAAAAGGAGCCAACCGTGTCAATTATTGCCCGGGCGAGCGTTCGAGGAGGAGGGCGAGGAGGGAACGCGGGCGACGAGGAAAAGGGAGGCGAGTAAGACAACATGTTGCCGATCGAGTGCTGGCCGCACGCCCTCGCGTCTCGTTGCTGTTGCAGGCAATGCAAAAGCATGATTGTAACGCGCAAAACTGCGGCAACAAAGTGTGGCAACAGACTGCCCGACCAAGCTATAGAGGCGTCCCGCATGGGGTCGGAGTAGACGCGGTCGGAGCCTCGCGCCGCATCGCCGATGCATCGGCGACGTTGGCGACGCGCTGGCGCCGTCAACGTGGAGAGCAGCGGGCTCCACATCGGGCCGCGTCGCCGATGCATCGGCGATGCGGCGCGACCTACAGATTCATGCACTCTGACCCCGTCTGGGAGGCCCATGGGAGCAGCATGCGCGACGGAAGCGGGACTTCGCCAGCCCTGAGCCGAAGAGGAGGTGTCAACATCTTGATTCCTGAACGAAAAGAGGGCGATGACGTGTTGGAGCACCCTGCGTCAGAACCTGGTGGCGTTAGGTCGGGCATGTCCTCCTACAGGCGGATTGTGGACGAGAAATGAACAGTCAAAACATATGCAAAAAGCATCAAAAATAGTAGACAAGCCGTCCCCTGATTACTTGTTATATAGTTTTGAATCTTCCTCTTGTAGAAGGACACGCCCGACTTAATGACAGCGACCGCAGTGGGGCAAGCGGCGCTCACTGCCGACAGCGGAAAAGCGCGCTCGCCCCGAGTCCGATACCGAGCCCCGCCCGAAACGACCGGCCAGGTCACGGCAAGTTTGCGTCGTGCGACCCCGGCGTTGGTTCCTGACACCGCGGGGATCGCTCAAACTTGAGCAATCGGCCCTTTCAGAAAGGCCGCCGGAACGTTCAAGGATGGGCCGATGCTGGGCCACAGGCGGCGTTCAACCTTCCACGCCCGCGCCGGGGTCGCCGCCGGCCGACTCGACGCGAACCTGCCGCACTCAGGTTTGAGCTTCGCGCCGCGCGGAGCTCGGCCCGAGGGAGGCACCACCTGGAAGGTGGCCCCCGAGAGCGGGCCTTTTGGGATCGCCCACGAGGCGACTCAGGGTGGAGATCTGGTCCTTGGGGGGGGCCCGGGGCCCAGGACCCACCTCCGTCATGCCGAGGGGGAGAGAGAGCTCGGGGAGAGTTCGGCAGCGACGGAGCCGAGGGTTCGCCCACGAGGATGCAGGCCGCGCGCTCCCAGCACGCTCGGCCTGGTGCCCCGAGGCCAGGACGAGGGTCGAGGAGGGGCCAAGGCTCGAGCAGGGGGGCCAGCGAGCGAGGATCACGGGCGGCGAACGTATCAGCATCCAGTCTGGATTGCAGGGCACCGTGCCGCAGATCACTAGGGGGGCCACATGCGAACCCTACCCCATACCCCCCACGATTTCTGGGGGGGAGGGTGGGGTTCACTTCGTCCAGGAGCTCCCGAGCGAAGGGAAGCCCACCGTGCCCCTCAGAAATCCTGGGGGGTAGGGGTAGGGCTCGCACGTGGCCCCCTAGTAACTGCACGGTCGCACGGACGCGTTCCGCGCGGGGCACCCGCGACAGAGACGCCCCGCAGGGGATCCGCGGGTCCGGGAGCTTCTGACCCGGGCCGACCCAGACCCGGGTCGGCCGGGCCCCGCAGGGGTCCTGCAAGACCCTGCACCCACGCCCGGGCCAGTGCGCCCCTGGCCCTGCAGGGGGTCCTGCAGGCTCCGGCGCCCCAGCCCGCGTCACTGCGCCCCCGGCCCTGCAGGGGCCCTGCGGGAGCCGGCGCCCTGGCCGACCCCCGTCGGCACTGGCTGGCCCCCCATATCAGTCGAGCACCGAGCGGGGCCGCGGCCCCGTGGGCCCGGCCCGCGAGGCCGCGGATGCAGACGTGGCCTGCGCCCCGCGGGAGGGGGAGGCGGAGGCCCGACTCGAGCGGCCGCCCCCTGAGCGCAGGCGCTCGTCTCGGAGCGAGGTGCGATGTCATGTCAGGATTGGCTCGGGATGCGCTCCAGGATTTCCAGTGAGCATCTGGCGGCGCGGCCGGTGCGGAGAACTGTAGGAAACAGCATGGGAAGCCTTGCACACTTAGGAGCGTATCATGACCATGACCATTTGCTCCTGTGACTTCCGCCCATACTTCTGTCCCGAAGCTCGGGCGTTGCGCCCACTTTGTCGCCGGCGGGGGGCGAGGGCGAGCTGCTAGACCGAAAGCGCCAAGACTGACGTCTTCGTCTTGTGGCCCTTGCCTTGCGCACACTTTACGGGGCCTCGGGCGACCGAAGACAAACGGCATAACCAGGAACTGTCGCAGGTCCGCGCGGATTTCTTGGATCTGCGCTGGACCCCCAACCCTGGCGCGTGGAACGCGCCAGGGGCGGCGCCTCCGGCACCGTTGGGGGGCCCAACGCAGATCCGAGAAATCCGCGCAGCGCTCCAACAATCTATGTTCCTGCTGTCTCTCGGAAGCAATAGCAGCAAGCGAGCGCGCGAGAGCGGGCGAAAAACCGTCTTCGCCCAGACGCCGCGCGGCTTGCTAGTGAAATTGGCAATGCTGTGTCAGCGCGGCGCATGCGTCGCCTGCGCCGCGCCCATCCGAAACGTGCCCCTCCTGCCCTGGCGCGCCCCGCGCAATTTTCTCTTCGTCAAGCCGCTGGAAGCGAAAACGCGCGCCAGCGCCTTCCGTTTGCGAGGCGGGAGCGCGTTCCAATCCCAATGTCGAACTGTGTCACACTTGGCTCCTATGTTGTGCTGGGGAAGTGGGGTTAAGCGCGGCCCTCAGACACGCCCGACCTGGCGAACTTGTCTTCTATCTATATTCCTTCTTACTACAGATTCCCAGTCTGCTCCTCTGCTGGGCCATAGCGACCACCTCCGTGCCCTTCCATACTACCTGTGAAACAAAATCGACATCAACGTACACTCGGCCCGTACCACAAGGATGCGCGACGAGCTGGAAGGGCCTTGGACGCCCATGTCGAAGTTTGTCGAGCGGGGTGCGGCCAACGTAAGTGGCCAAGGATGGACCGAGGAGGGAAGGTTGCGCGCGGCGCACATTTGGTCGCGCATATTTTCGCCGACGCGCGAGCGGGCGAAACTGTAGCTCTCGCCTCGGCGCCGCGCAGATGTCCCCTGAAAGTGGCGTTGCCGCCTTGACGCGTCGCATCATTTTTCTGGCTCGCAAACTCAGCAGGGCCCGCAAGAATGAGCGACGTCTTGGCCTTACCCAAGTTCCGTGCGCATTTGGGTCGGAAGTGGCGTTCCAGCGCGGGCGCGGCGCATGGTTCGATCGCCAAGGCGCGTGGAAACGACAACGGCAGCGGGGCTGCGCGACAACGGGCGAAATGCTGAACTCGCTCATACGCCGCGCAGTGTGTGTGTGTGTGTGTGTGTGTGTGTGCGTGCGTGCGTGCGTGCGTGCGTGCGTGTGTGTGTCTGTGTGTAAGTGTGTAAGCGTGTAAGTGTGTAAGTGTGCTTGTGTGTAGAAGTGGCAAAGCTGTGTCAGCGCGGCCCATGCTTCGTCTTCACCGCGCCCATCGGGAGTTTTGCCGCTCCCGCCCTGACGCGGCCCGCGTGGTTTTCTCTTCGCCAAGTCGTCCGATGCGGGACCGCGCGCCAGCGCCTTCCGTTTGCGAAGTGGGAGCGCCGCACTGGGACGGCGGTCCCACTCCTACTCCTACTCCTACTCCTACTCCTACTCCTATTACTACTACTACTACTACTACTACTACTACTACTACTACTACTACTACTCCTGCTACTACTACTACTACTACTACTACTGCTCCTACTCCTACTCCTACTCCTACTCCTCCTCCTCCTCGTACTACTACTACTACTACTACTACTACTACTACTACTACTACTACTACTACTACTACTACTACTACTACTACTACTACTACTACTACTACTACTACTACTACTACTACTACTACTACTACTACTACTACTACTACTACTACTACTACTACTACTACGACTACGACTACGACTACGACTACGACTACGACTACGACTACGACTACTACTACTACTACTACTACTACTACTACTACTACTACGACTACTACGACTACTACTACGACTACTACGACTACGACTACGACTACGACTATGACTACGACTACGACTACGACTACTACTACTACTACTACTACTACTACTACTACTACTACTACTACTACTACGACTACTACGACTACTACTACGACTACTACGACTACGACTACGACTACGACTATGACTACGATGACGACTACTACTAACACTACTACTCTCACTACTACTACTACTACTACTACTACTACTACTGCTACTACTACTACTACTACTACTACGACTACTACTACTACTACTACGACTACTACTACTACGACTACGACGACGACGACGACAACGACTACGACTACTACTACTACGACGACGACAACTACTACTACTTCTGCTACCCCTACAGATAATACGACTGCGACTAGTGCACGCTCTACTACGACTGCGGAGCAAGCACGGTACTTCCCTCTCTCATGCAAGGTGTTCCAAAGGATGTTATCCACCTGGAAAAGCAACCACCCAAAAACATCCACACTGGTGGGAAAACACGTCCAGGGGGAAGAGGAGAGGGGAGAGGAGGATCAAGAGGAGGAGGAGGAGGAGGAAAAGCAAGAGCAAGAGGAGGAACATGATAGGAGGAAGAGGAGGAGGAGGAGGAGGAGGAGGAGGAGGAGGAGGAGGAGGGAGAGGAGAAGGGGCGGAGGAGGGGGAGATGGAGGAGGAGGAGGAGGAGGAGAAGAAGAAGGGCAGGGCGAACCAGGGGACGCGCAGAGTTTATTGCCATCCAATGATTGTTTGGGGAGGGGGGCCTGGCAGCAGGTTGGACATGTCCTCCTACAGGCGCATTGGGGAAGAGATACCAAAACAATAAACACATCATCGGTTGACCTCCTACAAGATGGCCCCAATAGCGCCCCTGAGGCCTCTAAGAGCGCCCCAAGAGGGCCCCAAGAAGCGCCCAGACGGATCTAGAAGGTGCTCAGCATCCTCGCCGTCCTCGTCGTCGCCGTCTTCAGGGTCGGCGGCACCGGCCGTAAGGCCGTCGGAATGTAAAACATAGGATCAGCACTGGTCCAAAGAGCACGAACCGTCGTCGCCAGACTGTCGATTTACTATTCTAGGAGCTTCCTCCTGTAGAGGGACACGCCCGACGCAGAGCCTGGCAGGACCGAGGACTTCTCGAGGCTACCGAATGCGCACGGGCCTGGGCAGGGCGGGGCCATCGGACCCCTGTCGGCGACGAGTGGGCCCGTCGGGATCGATGCGCCCCCCCCCCCTCCCCAGTGGGACTGTCGCCGCCTCCCCCTAACGTTGCCACTGAAGGAGGAGGAGGAGGAGGAGGAGGAGGAGGAGGAGGAGGGAGGAGGGAGGAGGGAGGAGGAGGAGGAGGGAGGAGGGAGGAAGAGGAGGAGGAGGAGGAGGAGGAGGAGGAGGAGGAGGAGGGGGAGGAGGAGGGATGGCTCGACGACGCGGCCCGGCGGGACGCGGTGTGAGCGCCGATGCCGCCGGGGCGCTGGCCCCCCCAGGGCCACGGTGCCGCTGCCGGGGCACGCCCCTCCTCGCCCTCCGCCGGGGGGCACTCCGAGGCCTCCGCAGATGGGGCCGGAGCAGGTGGGGTCGGAGGAACGCGCCGCATCGCCGACGCATCGCCGACGCATCGCCAACGCATCGGCGTGGGTAAAATCGGGCTCCACGTCGAGCCTCATCGCCGACGCATCGGCCATGCGGTGCGATCCACCGACGCCGCCCTCTCTCGGGCTCCATCTGCGGGGCCCGGAGTACGGTCGGACCCGGGGCAGAAGAGCATCGCTCAAGAGCATGAGACCCTCCGCCGGCCAAGCTGAAGAGCATTCGAGGGTACCCACCCCCAGGATGCACGATAGCATCCAAGAAACACAAAGAGCACTAGGGCACCCTGCCCAAACCGACCTCGATCTCTATACCTCTGTCCGACCGCACACAAACCCCGGGCCTGGCTGGGGTCAGCGTTAGGTCGGGCATGTCCTCCTTCAGGCGGACTTTGGAAGGACAATGAAACATAGTCAACAATTGCTCAAACATGGCCGAAACGTAGTCGAGACACCGTCCTGAGACTTTTTCAGGAGAGCCCAGAATCGAATCGACAAGTCGGATCTGCAATCGAAATGAATCGGATCGGCGGAAATCGGCAGCCGAGTCGGGAAAAGTCGTATCGGCGGAAATGGGCAGGCTAGTATGCCGCCAGCAAAGGAATCGGAACCCAAATCGGAACCCGAAGTCGAATCGGATCGGAACCGGAAGCCATCGAAATCGAATCGAATCGAATCGGAGGAACCGAAATGAGCCCTGTTTTCCTTGACAATTCTTACACTTTCCTTCGGCAGTGGACAAACCTCCCTTCAGTAAACCTCCCTTTAGTGCAAACGGTCTGGGACCGAAACCGACGGACCGAAAACGCCCTCTCGCGAACCGAACACGGCCAATCCCTTACTCGACGTGTCAGGGTAGGAGGTCTGTCCCCCCCCGAGCGTTAGAGACTTACGCGTTTTTACGCTTGTCCCGCTCTGGGGCGTGAAGAGCCCGCGTGTGTTCACGCTTGTCCCGCTCTGGAGTCAGGAACCCGCGCGTTTTCACGTTTGTCCCGCTCTGAGGCGTCAGGACCCCGCGTGTGTTTACGCGTGTCCCGCCCTTCGACGCTAGGAACCTATCTGTTGTCGGCCTGTCCCGCCCTGCGGCGTTAGGAACCCACGTGTTCCGAACGCCGCCCTGCGGCGTTAGGAACCCACGTGTAGGAGGTCTGTCCACCCCCGATTCCTCCTGTAGAGGGACAGGCCAGGGCCAGGGCCGGGGCCCGTGCGCGCGCGCCGCGGGCGCCCGCCCTCCGCGGAGGGCTCCTGGTTGCGCACCTGGCCCTTCTCCGCGTGGTCGGCGACCTCGGCGGCCTCCTCCCGCAGAAGGAGCATAGCCAAACAAAAATAGCCAAACAAAAATAGCCAAACATAGCCGAACAAAAACATAGCCAACCATAGCCAACAGCCAAACATAGCCGAAACATAGCCACATGGAGGAACACTAAACCATAGCCAAACACAAATACCCAAACATACACCAAACATAGTAACAACAATCCCATCAGACAATTTGTTCGGCCATCTTTGAACCTTCCTCTTGTAGAGGGACACGCCCGACTTGAGCTTTGGGCCGTCGTGGGGCCCTCCCGGGGGCCTTCCGTGGCGACCGTCGGGGACCTTCTGACCCGGGTCAATCCAGACCCGGTGTCAGTCAGGCCTTGCAGACTCCTGCCAAACCCAAGTCAGCGCGAAGAATCCTGCAAGATCCTGCAGGATCCTGCACCCAAACCCGGGTCAGTGCGACCCTGGCCCCGCAGGATGCTGCAAGATCCGGCGCTCTGGCTGACACCCGTTTACAGTGACCCCCGTCTCAAGGCTCCCGAAACATGCGCATTCATATTTTTCCGGCGGCGAGCGAGGGGGGGAAGTGAGAAGGAGAAGGCCTTCTCAGAAGGCGGCGGGACCTCTCTCGGCGCTGGACAAACCTCCCTTTAGTAGACCTCCCCTTAGTGAAATCGGCCTGGAACCGAAACCGACGGACATGGACCCGCAGAAATGACGGCCGCGACGCCCTCTCGCGAACCGAAAACGGCCAATTCCTTAATCGACGTGTCAGGGTAGGAGGTCTGTCCACCCCCGACTCTCAGAAGCCCTCGCGCCCTCTGAGAAGCCTTTTCTGTTTTCGGGGAAGGCTCAGACAACTGCTGAGAAGGCCCGGGGACTTCCGAACCTTCTGAGAAGGCCCGCCCCTTCTCACTTGCCTCCCAGGCTCGCCGCCGATCTTTCCCCCACGGCAGCAGCGTAAGCGCCGCAATTTCCCGATGTTGCTCGTGCCGTGTACACCGGCGACGTGGGGTTACCTCTCCTGCTGCGCTCGTTTCTCCTGCCCGTGCCAGAGAAACGCGCGCATCAGTGGCAGCTTTCGGAGGTCGGCGCAGACTTCCTGGATGTCCTCCAGTCGGGTCGGGCGAAAGGGGGGGATAGCAAAGGGGGGGTTTGAGAATCAGCTCACGTAGCTGATTTTCCCGGCGTCGCCCGGCGCCAGAAGGCGCCCATGTATCGAGGAATGGGCCCGGCGGCGGGGTCGAAACCAGCTGCATGCAGCAGATTTCGTAACCCCACCTTTCCCAATCTCCCCCTTTCGTCCGGCCCGAAAAGAGGCCCCCAGGATCGCCCCAAGATCGCCCAGGAGGCCTGCGCTGGACCCCCCCTTATCAGCGCGGAGCGCGCCAGTGGCGGCGCCAGATGCGCTGGCAGGGGACCCAACGCCGATCCAATATTTTCCACCACTGCAATCCATAGATCCGCAACTTCCGACGAGCCTGCGCTCATGGCTCTGCAACCGTAGGGTGCGCAAGTCACAGAATACCTCTGGGAGGCGGTGGTGAAAAAGCGGGAGGAGCGCTCCACGCCGCTACAAGAAGCCCGCGCAGACCTCAAAACCTTCTGGATGTGCTGTTTTTTCTTCTACGATCCTCCTCCCTCCGCTTCTCGCCCGCGAGGTACAAGGCGTAGAACCGCAGGAAGAGCGCGGGCTGGGAGCGGTGCAGGTCCGGGATGCCCGGCGGCGCTCCGACAGGAGGGTGACGGGCAGGGGGGTGGCCAGCTCAGGGGGGAAACATCGACTTGAAATCTGGGACACATCGACGATAGATCGGCGACAAGCTCCCGATAGCGAAACCTCACGTTCCTGGGCGGGGATGGCTGGACGACTGGGGGTCGATGCGTCCCACACTTGCCTATCCCCCCCGAACGTTGCCCCTGATCTTCTGGGAACCTGGTGGGGCTGGGGATCGGTTAGACGATGCCGATTTCCAGGGACCCACTGACCAGGGCCAATGCAAACCTGGGTCAGTCAGGCCATGCAGGATCCTGCACGATCCTGCAGGGTCCTGTACGCAAGCCGGGGTCGATGCACCCCTGGCCCTGCAGAAGCCTGCAAGATCCGGCGCTCTGGCTGACCCCCGTTTGCATTGGCCCCCGTCTCAAGGCGCCCGAGATCTTACGTTTCCCAGGCCTTCTGTTAGGTCGGGCATGTCCTCCTACAGGCGGATCTGGAGGAACAATAAAACATAGCCAAACAAAAATACCCAAACATGAATCAAAAATCATATAAAATCGCCTCTGACATTTTTTTCTACTATTTTTGAATATTCCTCCTGTAGAGGGACACGCCCGACTTGAGCTTTGGGCCGTCTTGGGGCCCTTCCGGGGGCCTTCCGTGGCGACCGTCGGGGACCTTCTGACCCGGGTCAATCCAGACCCGGGTCAGTCAGGCCTTGCAGAATCCTGCAAGATCCTGCGCCCAGGGTCAACGCGAAGGAACCTGCGAGGTCCTGCAGGATCCTGCACCCAAGCCAGGGTCAGTGCGACCCTGGCCCTGCAGGATCCTGCCAGATCCGGCGCTCCTCTGGCCGACCCCCGTTTGCACTGACCCCCGTCTCAAGGCTCCCGAAACATGCGCATTCATATTTTTCCGGCGGCGAGCGAGGGGGGGAAGTGAGAAGGAGAAGGCCTTCTCCGAAGGCGGCGGGACCTCTCAGAAGCCCCCGCGCCCTCTGAGAAGCCTTTTCTGTCTTCGGGGCAGGCTCAGAAAACCGCTCAGGAGGCCGGGGGTCCTCCGAACCTTCTGAGAGATAAAACAGGGCTAGGATCGGGATAAATCGCTCCAGAGCGTTCCGGAGCGCTCTCAGAGCGTTCCGGAATGCTCTGAGAGCGGCCGCGGCGCCCAAGACATCCTCCAAGCCCGCCGATTCTCAGAGATTTCGAGTTGTCCCGATCTGATTTTGTCCCGATCTTCGCGTCGTTTGATGAGAAGGCCCGCCCCGTTCTCGCTTCCCTCGCGCTCCCGTCTCGAGGCTCCCGAGAGGCGGCCTCCGAGGGGGGCCCGGCCCGTGCTCGAGGGCTCCCCGAGAGGCACCAAGGCTCCCGGGGGGAGGGCAGGAGGGGGCCTGCGAGGGGCGGGGGCGCCACCCTTGAAGGGGCCCCAGGACACACACAAATAAACACACACAACTAAGACGGCTCCCCATATATTTTCCCATCTTTTCTGGGCTTTTGTCTTCCCCCCTTCCCATATTTTCCCATATTTTCCCATATCTTCTGGGGAATCGCCGATTCGTGGTGTCTGTGTGTTTCTTTCCCTCCTGGACCCTGCAGGGCGGCGAGGTCTGCACGCCCGCCGAGCTCGGCGGGACTCGGCGGCAACCCCCCGGGGTTCCGTGGGGCGCGTCCCTCTGCAGCGGGGGCGCTCCCAAACTGTAAAACGAACAGTACTCGGCGGTGGACAAGCCTCCCTGAAGGGGAACTGGGACACACAAATAAATACACACAAATAAAATTGTTTCCCATATTTTCCCATATTTTCTAAGTTTTTGTCTTCCAGCCCACTTCCCATATTTTCCCATATTTTCCGGGGAATCGACGATTAATTGTGTCTGTGTGTTTTTTCCCCTCCTGACTCCCTTTAGTAGACCGACCTCCCCTTCAGTGAAAACGGCCTGGGGCCGAAACCGACGGACCCGGACCCGCAGAAAACGACGGCCGCGACGCCATCCCGCGAGCCGAAAACGGCCAATTCCTGAATCGACGTGTCAGGGTAGGAGGTCTGTCCACCCCCGAAGTATGGGGACGATGCTTGGGATGTGTTTGAGCAATTTGTTCGGGGGTATGTTTTGACTACGTATTTCAATGTTTCGCCCCAAAATCCCCCTGGGGGGGGACATGCCCGACCTAACCCTGGGGACCTCCCATGCCGTCTTGCTTTCTCTCGCGAATCGACGCTGGAATCGACGCCGATCGGCGCCGAGTCGACGCCGATCGGCGCCACGTCGGCGCGCTCTCATCGATTGCCAGATGCTAGCGCACGCTATAGATACAATCTAAAGGCGGAGCTGCGAGGACACACAGGGCTCCCACGAGTTGCTGCCGAACGCTCCTGCACTGGCCTCGACGTGCCTCGCCTCCAAGTTATCGACCCGCCCATCGACCAAATCTATAGCCTCCCTGTCCCTACAGTGGAGGCCAGTCCACAAGAAACCCAGGGCACCCTGGAGGCAAGCATGCTGTTTCTTGGTATGGGCCTCCACTGCTCCTCGAGCCCCCTCCTCCTTCTCCTCCTCCTCCTCCCCTCTCCTCCTCCTCTCCTCCTCCTCCTCCTCCTCCTCCCTTCTCCTCTTCCCCCCTCCCTCCTCCCTCCTCCCCCTCCTCCCCTCCTCCTCCCTCCTCCCCTCCCTCCTCCTCTTCTTCTCCTCCTCCTCCCTCCCTCCTCCCTCCCTCCCTCCCTCCTCCCTCCTCTTACAGGACCGGAGGGACTCGGGCGCCCCTCTGGGAGAGGGCCTCGGGCGCCCCCCCCAGGTTCCGCGGGGGGTGCCCGAGGGTGCCCTCCCGTGCCTCGGCGCTGCGCGCTCTCTTGGCCCCGGGGGGGGCGTGCGCTCCGGGCCCAGGGGCCCAGGAGTTGGGCGTGGCTTAATGGGGGGGTCATAAATGGGGGGGTCAGAAACGGCCCCTTTTCGTGCCCCTTTCGGGCCCCTCTGGAGTCCCAGGGGGCTCGTTTAGGTACCGTTTGGGTACCTTTTCGGACCACCCTCGCCACCCCCCTATTTATGACCCCTCCATTACGCAACGCCCAAAGGAGAGGGAGCCCGGCCCAGGGAGCCGGTGGACATTCGCAGCAGGGGAGCCCAGAAGCGAATCGACGAGTCGGGTCTGCCATCGACATGACTCGGATGTCGACTCTGGACCGCCGAGGGGGTGTCTTGAAGGAATGGGCCGATTCTTCATACAGGAAGATCTTTGCGCGGAGGGGGGATCCACCATGCGTGTTGCGCGTGCGCGTTAGGCACATGTGTTGCTCCCATCGTACTTAGGAACCAGATCTCATAAAGAATCTCGAGCTCCCAGAAAAGTGTCGAAACAGTGTCGAACAAGTATCGCCTCCCAGGGCCCGACACTTGAAAACCCTGAAATTTCGGTACTTTCCTGGCGCTCGAAATTCTTTCTGGTGATCAAGGGTAAAGTAGGCTGGAACATCATAAGCCTGGTTCAGGGAACTGGTGGACATTCGAGTAGGGGATCGACTACCAGCATGGGCTGGCCCCGAAAAAATTGGCATGTTCGTCGAACCTGCAGACACATGCTGGATATGTGAAGAACAGTGCTGGATCTGTGAAGGCCCTGTGCCTTCTCTATCGGCTCGACGACTTGCCATCGGCCGGACGTCCACTCCCCGTGCATTCGTCAGTTCCACGCGTGTTCTAGTTCCGAGATGATCCAGGGTGCTCTTCGACGGTCCTCGCCGAGAAAAAAAATGCACACCTCCGCACCTCCG